ATATGTTGTTTGGTTTTGTTTTCATGGAGAAAAATGCAAAAAAAAAAACACAAAAAAGAAGCAACACTTTTGAAAATCTTTTACCTCATATCTTCACAATGGGAGCACTTCAGAACATAATTCAAACAGATTCGGGAAGCTATAGTGTAGGGCTACAACTTTCATTTTTGACCATTTTTGGTAATTGGTCATGTGACCAACATCCCAACATCCCATTATATGGACCCTGATAGGTAAAAACATTCTCCTCTTGGTTTTCTTCACTTTTGGTCAAACCAGGTGATGTTTCCTCTTTGGGATGGACCCTGAAATGGACCCTGAAGGCAGTGCCTGACATTCTGAGGGGGCAATGATAAATGCAGTAGGGTAGGTATGAAATAGCCCAGGCAGGGATATGAGATTGCAAAGGCAAGGATATGAAATAGCCCAAGGTAGGGAATGAAATAGATATGAAATTGCCCAGGCAGGGATATGAAATTATGCAGGAAGGGATATGAAATTGCCTAAGGCATGAAATGAAATGAATATGAAGTAGCCCAGGCAGGGATATGAGATTGCCCAGGCAAGGATATGAAATTACCCAGGCAGGGATATGAGATTGCCCAGGCAGGGATATGAAATTGCCCAAGGCAGAAATGGAATATGAAGTAGCCCAGGCAGGGATATGAGATTGCCCAGGCAAGGATATGAAATTGCCCAGGCAGGGATATGAGATTGCCCAGGCAAGGATATGAAATTGCCCAGGCAGGGATATGAAATCACCCAGGCAGGGATATGAGATTGCCCAGGCAAGGATATGAAATTGCCCAGGCAGGGATATGAGATTGCCCAGGCAAGGATATGAAATTGCCCAGGCAGGGATATGAAATCACCCAGGCAGGGATATGAAATTGCCTCAGGCAAGAAATGAAATGAATATGAAGTAGCCCAGGCAGGGATATGAGATTGCCCAGGCAAGGATATGAAATTGCCCAGGCAGGGATATGAAATCACCCAGGCAGGGATATGAAATTGCCTCAGGCAAGAAATGAAATGAATATGAAGTAGCCCAGGCAGGGATATGAGATTGCTCAGGAAAGGATATGAAATTGCCCAGGCAGGGATATGAAATTGTCCAGGCAGGGATATGAAATGAATATGAAGTAGCCCAGGCAAGGATATGAAAAGGCAATGAAATAAGGCTGGGTAGGCAATGAAATTAAAAGTCAGGCAAGAATGAAATAGCAATGAAACAATGCTGGGTAGACAATGAAATGGAAGGCCAGGCAGTAATGAAATTGCAATGAAGGAGTATTGAAATATGTCTCAGGACAGTTATGAAATAGTCATGAGAAGCACTGGTAAAGAAATGAAATACATTTCATAAGTTTTGCCTACTCTTCTCATTTCATAAATTCATTAGGCAGTGTGGATGTCGGTGTGCAGGCACTTGCCTGTATTTTATCATAAAAGTGGTAGCTACTAGTGGGGGTAGTCGATTGGTTTATGGGTCTCGACCACTATGTACCTACCAACCTTTTTATGTCCACCTTCCGCTTCCTTCTTCTAATTATGCAATTGGCCGCCCTCTCTCTCTTTATATATGCTTACTCCCCTACCATCCCCTCCCCCCGATCTGATACTCGCTTGGCTTACGGTTTTTTAATATCTCTTTCTCCCTGTTTTGTTTTATACCTCAATATAAACTCAATGCCATGCAATACAATGGACATTGTTGAACTCCACAGCACACCTAGAACTACCACACAAAGTACGCCTATTTGGTCTGACTTTATTAATAAATTATAAGAACAAGAGGGCATGGGCACAGATGGAGGTAAGCGCGAGTCCGAGTGGGAAGACGAAATTAGTCAGGAACTTCGAAGGGTTGCTTTGAACTTGGGAGCCCCAAGAACCCGAGTCGGGGTCCGGTTCGGAAGCGCCAAGACTAACTATCAGCGGGATTATGGATAGGATATGGTTGGGAGGGAGCTCAATGAAGAAATGGTGAAGCAGGACGGTATTCGGTGGATGTACAACCCAGTGGAGGCGCGGTCCACCTCAGGCTGCACCTCAGTAGAGTTGCTTTGATTGATTGTGAGCTCGGTGGCTTGAAGGGGACCTCGGGCACGCTGTGCTAGTAGTGGACGGAGATGACCTAGCAGGCCAATCACGAGTGTTTATGTAGAAGAGAGAGATAGGCTTCTTGTTGGGATACCGCCTTGTTACGGTCTTGAGTTGACTACAAAGTAGTGAGGGTAAGCATGGGGAAAGTCGCCTCTGTTGAGCATGCCACCTTTCAAGAGAACGAGAGGTGCTGGGGGAGGTGGGCAGGTTGTCCCCTTTGCCATGACGACGAATGAAACATTCAACTGGGGTAGAAGGTAGCACGCAGTACACCACACGAGAGCATCGGTTTGGATGCGAAAAAGGGGGTAGAGCTTAGGACTAACGGATTGGGACACCTGGAGCGATTGGGCAAATGTCGAGGGGCGGAGAGAGACAGGTTCAGGAAAATCTAGAAAGTCCCGGCAAATATGGATCGTTCAATGGAATGAGATGTCTAGCACAAGAAATGAGCCATGAGGATAAGGCTACGAGGAGGAAGCTGTGACTGCCTCACTTTTAAAGACGGAAGATGTGTGGTTCGAGTTCTAGTCCGTTACCATGAACAAAACTTCGAGCCTCTTGACATCGGACAGCACGTCGAGCCTCTTGACATCGGACAGCACGTTGCACATGTTTGAGTGCATCATCGCGAGAATCTCCAGGAGGCGTTCGGATTGGGAAACCTCGACGGATAGTAAAGATCAGGATGCAAGGAGAGAAAGCAGGGTGTGGTTTGGACTCATGTAGGCACAGGAAGTACTGCACGCCATGAATCTCAAGATAGGGTATGGTTAGATGTGCAAAAGACGAGGCATGATGAGGAGGCCAAGATGAATGGCGGAGGAGTGCTTTACACACCTCACGACGGAAGATGTGTGGTTTGAGCTCCCGCCGTCTGTTACCGTGAACAATGCCTCGAATTTGGCGGGCTCAAGGTAGCGATTGCGGAGATTGGGATGTAGCATTGCCATACAAAGGCCCTCCGATTCAAGTGAAATCTCGATCGATAGAAAAGGCCAGGATAGAATGAAGGAAGGGCGTGGAGAGGATATCCTGCCAATGACAAAATAGATGATCAAGACTTGGATGGATGGGGATAAATGGTAGAAGGAACGAGCCATGAGTAGAAGGCCAAGAGGATGGAGGAGGAAGTGGCGAGATGTAGCCGGGACGCAAGGAGGAAAGGTTCGGATATCCTGCCAAACACGAAGTGGATAGTCAAGCTTCACGATGGGTTACGGTAACCAGTCAAAGGATGGATTGGCAAGGAGGCGAAGAGGATAAGGAGTGGTTTGAGGTTTCGTCCGTTACCGTGAACCTGGAGGTGAAGGTGTTCGGATTAGGGAGACCCCGACTAATAGCGCAGGTCGGAACCCAAGGGGGTAAAGATTCGGATTCTAGACGATGCTGGGTAGATGTATGTAGCGGAAGAACATAAGATTTGCCTGCCCAACGTGCGTCAATCAAGCCACAGTTCTTGGATCCGGGATCTCTAGATGACCACTCCTAGACAGAGTTACTGTTCAAGTAGAGTGCTCGAGCATGTCGGCACAAGCAACTTGTTGTCTCCTCAGAAAGGGAGAGTCGTTTTGGGGCGTAGATGCAATACGACCGTGGGTAGCGAGTTGGCGCTGCTGTCAATGTCGTTTTTGTGGTGGTGGAAGGGAGGACTTTACACTCCCCCACATATTCCGGTTGGACTCCGGATGGACTCCGGCGGACTCCAGATGGATTACTGCTGTTCATCCAGTATTTTTTCTAATTTTTTCTTTGGTGGCAACCCAGCCAAATGTTAGTCTAGAATCCAGCTGGACTCCAGCTGGACTCCAGGTCCACCATCTGGACTGCATGGACTCCACCTCATAACACAGTCAACCAGCCAGACTCCAGATGGAGTCCAGCAGGAGTTTACAATTTCTGTTTATTTATTATTGTTATTATTAGACAAAGAAAAAAGAATGCCATGACCGGGAATTGAACACTCAATCACTTGGGCAGGTAAAAGCTGCCACAATAAACCACTACACCACGAAGGCTTTATTATCTGAACGATCTTTACACATCATATACCCTTGCTCCCAGCACGTTCCGAAAGCAGGCCAAACACGTTGGCTTTGTTGCCACGTCGTCGTCTTTTGTCTTCCCACCACCACCTTCCCACCTCCAACCTCGTTCAACACATCCAACCACCCCACCTCGCACAAACCGACCTCACGACAACGGCAACCCCACGCAACAACAACACACCCCACCAATGCCAACAACGGCCCACCACCACCACCAAGGCCGATGACAGGATGGCAACGGCGACCCACCACCACCCACGACACGATGACGTGTCAACGACATGCGAGTACGACAACACGCAAGGACGACGACGCGCGAGGACGACGACGCGCGAGGACGACGACGATGACACGCGACAACGATGACAAGCGACAACGATGACACGCGGCGACGACGACACGCGGCGACGATGACGACACGCAACAACAACGACAATGACGACAGCGACGACACGCAACAGCGACGACACACAACGACGACCACAACGACTACGACACGCGACGACCACGACGACTATGACACGCGACGACTACGACACGCGACGATGACAGCGACGACAACGACACGCAAAAACGACCACATCACGCAACAACAACGACACGCGACAACAACAACGAATGGCCGCCCTGGGACGACAACACAACGCCCATGCAGGACGCGACGAGGGCCAAGGACCACCACTCCTTGCCCCCTTCATTACTCACCACCCCCTCCCATACTGCTCACCACTCACTCCCCCTTCCATTCCTCTCTCCCCCCTCCACTCCTCTCTCTCCCCCCTCTCTCTCCCTTCCACTCTCCCTCCATTCCACCCTCCCTTTTCCCTTTCCCTTCCCCTCCATTCCTCTGTCCCCCTCCATTCCTCTCAACCCCTCCCTCTTTCCCTTCTCCCTTTCCCTCACCCCTCCATTCCTCTCTCCCTTCTCCCCCCTCCCTCCCTGATCACCACTCCCTCCCCCCCACTCCCTCCCCTCTGTAACATAGAATATATTAAAATTAACTTATTTAGTTACTAAATATACTTCAATTTTGTTTCTATATAGTTATATATACAGTCATCAATACAATATCTGTTCACCTATGAATTTTGTATGGAATTTTGAGGTGGGAGAAGGTCTGACTTGTTAAAATTCCACAACATTCCTTGAGAGAGTCCAGACAGAGTCTATGCAGACTCCCAGTACTTTACCATCCCCCACATAATCCACATGGACTCCACTGGATTCCACTGGATTCCACTGGACTTCACTACATACTGGCAATATCCACAAATCTGGACTCCACTGGACTCCCAGCACAAAACTGGACTGGACTGGACTGCAAATCACAAAACTGGACTGGACTGGACTCCACTGGACTCTCCCAACACAAAACTGGACTGGACTGGACTGCCACAGACCTAAGTTAATCCAGAATTCCTCTTCAAAACAAAAAATAAAATTGAAGTATATTCATTAATTAAATTAATTAAATTTACATAGATTCTATGTTACAGAGGGGGGAGGGAGGGGGAAGGGAAAGGGAAAGGGAGGGGAAAGGGAAAGGGAGGGGAAAGGGAAAGGGAAAGGGAAAGGGAGGGGAAAGGGAAAGGGAGGGGGAAGAGAGGAATGAATAGAGGGGGGAGGGAGCAAGGGAGGGGGAAGGAAAGGGAGGGGGGGAGAGAGGAGCAAGGAAAGGGGGAGGGGGGAAAGGGGGAGAGACTGAAGGGGGGAGAGACTGAAGGGGAGTGGGAGTGGTGAAGAGAGGAGGTAGTGATGGGGGGAGAGAGTGGAGGGGAAGGGTGATGCTGCTGGGCCCTTGTCGCCGTTCAGCGCTGGCGGGCGCTTGTCGTTTTTTGTGGGCGTATCGTTTTTCGGGTGTGGTGGGGGCGGCGTTTTCATCGGTGCTCGTTCGTCGTCGTTGTCGTGTGTCGTCGTCCCGGCGTGTCGTTGTCGTTGTCGTCACGTGTCGTTGTCGTGTGTCGTTGTCCCGGCGTGTAGTCGTTGTTGTCGTTGTCGTCATGTGTCGTCGTCCTCACGTGTCGTCGTTGTTTTTGTGGGCGGGGGTCGTTTTTCATGGGCGGTGGCTGGTTTTCGTGTGACGTGGCAGCAGGCGGTGGTGGGCGGTGGCCGTTTTCCGTGGGCGCTCGTTCGTGTGCTCGGCTTCGCGTGTTGTCATCATCGTGCTTGCGTGTCGTCGTGCTCGCGTTTTGTCGTGCTCGCATGTCGTCGTCGTGCTCACGTGTCGTCATTGTCGCCGTCCTCATGTGCCGTGCATGGGTGGTTGCTGGCATCGTGCCTGTCGTGGTGAGAACGGAGGAATGGGGTGGTGGGGCATACGTACCCCTTGCCCATGACGTTGCCACGTCATGGGCGTTGTCCCTCGTCCTTGGTCCATCGTTCCGCGCTGGGGGTGTCGTTGTCGTTAGCATGGGTGTCGTGTGCGTCGTTAGCATGGGCGTGGGCGTGGGCGTCGTGTGCGTCGTTAGCGTGGGCATGGGCGTCATCGGCGGCGTTGAGATGTGAATGGTGGTGGTGGTGGACACAGGGGAGAACCGGCTATTTGGCCAATGGGCACATGAGTAAGCAAATGTTGATTGGAGGCATTAATGCTCTCCCATATTCTTCCCATATGCCTACCATGCACATTTGAAATTTAATTCAAGTAAGCTCCAAAATGCAAATATCATGGAATTCCTAGCCACAGAAAAAATATGCCCATTAAAATGGGCTATCATATGTGGCTGATTTGTTTATTTAATATGTGACCACAATGTGCCCAATAGGCGGATTCTGGTCACATGCTTGATGTATCACCATGCTAAAGTAAATATGCACACACAAATGCAATTAACATGGGACTGCTGAGCACATGTATATGACATATCAAATGAAATGCATCCAATGTAATCAGGGGGCAAATTGAAAAGCCACAGAAAAAATGTACCCATCATGTAGGCAAGATGTGGTTGTCATGCACATGCTGGAGAAATTTATCATGAGAGCAACATTGAAGTGATGGTAACATTCTGATTATATACAAAACATTCTTCAAATTTGCCCCAGCAGCACATGAAAGAGATATTTTGGTCACATTTAAAATGTAATGCTTCCATTTGCTTCAAAATGAATCCAGTGTTTTGTTGGCAGTACCATTTATAATAAGCCTGGTGTAGCCATGCAAAAGTATAGTGAATGATCAAAAAAAATCAAAAAACTTGGCATTTGCCCAGGAAACACATTGAAAAAAAAAAAAAAAAATTATTAGATGAGGTAAATTTTAAATTTTTCAAGAAAGAATGCAGCTGTTATAGTTAAATCTGGTAGCTCTATTATTAAAAGTTAGAGAAAGGGGGTGGCAGGGTAACTTCCAGCCAACCTATCAATAGACCGGTTCATTAGCTGTCAGTGAATAATTATTAATAATGGACATTAATATGTAATATAATAGTTGTTGTTGTTAGCTGTAGATGACATCATGATAGTAAGCTACGCACTGTAGCATAATGATTGTTGTTATCACTACTAACTGTGATAGATAATACTAATTATAATAGTAAGCTATTGGATAATTATTAAGAATGCTAATTTATGACATCGGTCAACGCTGACTATGATAATAAATGTTGTTATCAATGCTAACTATGGTAGATAATAGTGCGATAGTGATACAGACACTATACCCTAACGAATTTAACGACATCAATCCTCGACTATTACCGTGGACTACAGTCCCCCGACTTCCGTGTTTGTTGGATTGCACCAGCATCAGTATCGCACGGAAGTGAGTACTTTTCCTGCAGCCCTTCTCGTGCAACTTTGTTCAGCAACTATCTAGGATCTCCCCATGGTGCTCAGCTCCAGGAACACCAGCCCGAGTCCCATGTCCGAATTTGATATAGAAGGTGATAGTTCCGTAGGTTCTTTCACTCCTTTTCTTTCTCTTTATTTTGTCTCATGGTCTGTTTCCCTCAACAGGAGAGCGATAATTTGGCGGAGACGATGGCTTCTCTTACTGAGTGGGTACAAGAATTATCAGACTCTTTACAAGGGGTCATAGAGTGTCTCACATGCAATGAGGATGAACAGCCCAGCAGGGTTATGGAAATCAAGATAGACGGTTCTACCTTGTGTTCCATTGCTTTCAAGTAGATTGTTAGTAGGATTGTTATGTGTTATAAATGACGACTTGTTTCGCATCTTCCACCATGGTAAGGAAGGTCACGAGTCCGTCGTAGCGTGGATCTTTTCATCCCCTCAGAAGTTACCATTTTCAGGAGGGTCTAAATTTAAAGAACTTGCGGCTAGAAACGAGGTTGACAAAGCGTACCAGATCGAAGTGACGCTACCAAGGCTGCGAAAGACGGGCATTGTCAGCAACGAAACGATAGGCGGACAGATATCACTATGATAGAATCACTGATGTAGTGAGCACAAGTCGAGGGAAGCAGCTAATCAGTACACACCGCCCCACAGATCGCTGCACAAAAAGCATGTCAGCGTGAAGGCCTTGAATATGAGGTCTGCGAGGTCGGTGGCACCAGATTTGCGGTTTCGTGAGTGGGGCTCAGAGCGCCCTTCAGCATCAGCCTCTTTCCGTTTGAATGCTTTTGGAGTGCACGGTATCATTGTACTATAATGCCTTACATCCTATTTACCGACTTCACCAGCGTACGTCTATTTAGCTGTCACCTAAAATGGCGGTAAGATTCGAACAAGGGAATGCAGGAGAGCCGTCTTACCTCTCCGCTCTGTGAGGGGTCGTACTCGTCCACCTGAAATGTTGGATTTCCAGTGCTCGCCTTGTTTCCGACCTTTTGCCATGAGAGATGAACGCACTGGATTAAAACCCGCCAATCGCTGACGCCATGTGTCGATGTCTTTTGGTTGACTGAACAATATAGATCTGAAGTAGCATGAGCAGAGTATGACAGAGTTGATGGTGTGTTGATTCCTTACATAATTACGTGCAAGTGGTTCGTTGGCACCCATCGTGAACTCCTTCTGCAGCGCTCAACGGGATGACCAAATCGGGGAGGCAGTCTCGCGGATTACTGTCCTTTACATTATGACGAAGTCACCAGGTTTGATGAAGTAGGTAACTGTCTTCTTGATGGGCTTGTCCCTTAAGAACATTGCGGTCGTCAATTTTTTGATAAAGTGAATGAAAACGAGAGACCGGGTGCTGAGAGATGGACTCTTTCAGCAGCGTCTTCGGGACATCATGCTGCATGTGTCGAGTCGTGGTGCTACAAGGAAGGTCGGGCAATTGGCTGTGTACCGATTTGACCTACATGGTGCATGTCAGCAAAGAGAGTGTACAGGGGGGAGAGTGGGGGATAACAAACGATGGCCTGCCAATTACTTTTGATGGGTTCCCATTGCGATAAAGGCAAAGGGAGGAGCGCGGAGTTGGATGCTGAGGTCTCTGACGCCGCTGGGAGAACTCTGGAGAGTTGGGGCGCACCTGGTCCAGCACGCCTAATTGGTGCGAAGCAACGAAAACGATGTAAATCATCGAATTTTCGAAGCCCTACCCCAACTCACTCGTCCCTCCGTATCACAATGCGCCTTCTGCCATTCCATCGCCGGCCGTGGTCAAGAGCTGGATGTCCACCTGGTTAGCAGTCACCAGTCAATTGTCAGTGGTTAGCAAATGACAAAGCCTGGACAAGACCTCGTGTTAGATCTTGTGGAATGACTCAATATCCTTCTTTTTGTCAAAATTCTTCGTCCCCTCGGTTTTGAGTGTGTCGAGCACGGAATCAGCAGCACTCCGAGCGCAGTACGCACAGAGGAAAGAATAATTTCGTAAACTGCGCGTGTTTCCCCAGTCTGTGGACGATATGTGATGCCTTCATGATCAACATCTTGCGTCGCCTCAACGACCGATGACACCATGGGGAACGACAATCTTGAGACAAGCATTTCCCTGTACTTATTACGGGTTGCCCTCTAACTTCTAAGTCGTCAGGTAAACTATAAGGTTGCTCTTTATTATCCCTCATGAGGCTAGCAATTACCCTTGAATTACCCTCTACACGCATTGACGAGACTCTTACCGAGGATCTAGAAAAGTCCTCCATCTCGTCGTCGAGGATCAGGATAGATGTCAGTATAGGTGTCGTTAAATAGGTGTATGTCGTTAGGGTACCATAGTTAGCATTGATAACAACAATTATTATCATAGTTAGCGTTGATAATGATGTCATACTTAAATTAGCATTCTTAATAATTATCCATAGCTTACTATTATCTAGTTAGCATTGATAACTATGTTATACATAGCTTACTATGCAATAGTTATCACTAACACTTTCCATTATCAATAATTATCCACACTTGGACACTGACAGTTAATGAAGCTGGTCTATTGATACCTTGTTGACCCTGCCACCCCTTTCTCTAACTTTTACTAGAGGTACCAAATTTTACTATAATATCCAAGCCAACAGCTGCATTCTTTTTTTGAGAAATTCAAAATTTACCCCCATGTAATAATTTTTTTTTCTTTCTCAATGTGTTTCCTGGGTAAATGCCAAGTATATTTTCTTAAATTATCATTCACTATACTTTCACATGGCTACACCAGGCTTATTATAAATGGTACTGCCCAGAAAATACTGTATTCATTTTGAAGGAAATGGAAGCATTACATCTTAAATGTGACCAAAATATCTCTTTCATGTGCCACTGGGGCAAATTTGAAGAATATTTTATATGTAATCAGAGTATTACCATTACTTCAATGTTGCTCTGATGATAAATTTCTCCAGTATGTGCATGACAACCACATCTTGCCTGCATGATGGGTACATTTTTTCTGTGGCTTTTCAATTTGCCCCCTGATTACATTGGATGCATTTCATTTGATATGTCATATACATGTGCCCAGCAGTCCCATGTTAATTGCATTTGTGTGTGCATATTTACTTTAGCATGGTGATACATCAAGCATGTGACCAGAATCCGCCTATTGGGCACATTGTGGTCACATATTAAATAAACAAATCAGCCACATATGATAGCCCATTTTAATGGGCATATTTTTTCTGTGGCTAGGAATTCCATGATATTTGCATTTTGGAGCTTACTTGAATTAAATTTCAAATGTGCATGGTAGGCATATGGGAAGAATATGGGAGAGCATTAATGCCTCCAATCAACATTTGCTTACTCATGTGCCCATTGGCCAAATAGCTGGTTCTCCCCTGTGGGAAGGGAAAGGGATGGTCACGGCAGTGTGACCATCCCACAAACAGGCGACGTGACGATATGGCACACCCTCAAGTAAGTCACGTGACCTCACCCCGCAGA